GGTGAAAACAAAGAAGGTAAAACAAAAACCCACCTGAGGCGATGCCAGGAACCCGGGCGTCTGGGGCTCTTGAGGCATTTCCGAGTCGTGGGAGGCGGGGGTGCCCGCAGGGAAGAGCACCGGCAGAGGCAGAGGCGGCATGCCCACATCTGCGGCAAAATCGAACCCGAGGACGTCGGAGGGACTAGCCTGACCCTGTGGACTACATAGTTGAAGAATGTGACAGGGGGATGGGAAGTGTCAATCACCGAAATGCCGCCTGGGAGACGTAGCACAGGTCCCCGCCGAGCAGGAGTCACCGGCGAGGTGACTGAGACACCTCTTTTGGCAGACGCAGAGTGCAGCGGGCATGTTCGGATGAATGCCTCCACTCCATTGGCTCTGCAGGCCCCACAGACACGCGGCGCTGCCGGGGTCTTCTTCTTTTGGGGTGGCTTGGCTTTGGCGGGAGCGGTAGCGTTGGCCAGCTTTTTCCGAGGGACGGGTTTGCGCGGACTGTGGCGTATTGCCATCGTCATTGAAGATAACGTGCTGGTGTGGACTATTTGTGTGGACTGCACAGAGTCACGTTATCTTCAACGATGATGGAGATGGATGTTTGGGATCCCAGAGGTGCCGCTTTTGGGATCCCAAACCTACTGATGATGCACCCCACCTGTCAGTGAGATTGATGGATTCGTTTGCGATTGATGATGCAGCGTGAGAAAAATGTCTCTTTACTCTCGACAATGCTGCCATTCGTTCAACTACCCGTCCCTCCCCCTCCCCGTCCCTTGAAGCCGGTGCAGCTGCCACCAGTCCACGGTTTCAACATCCTTTCCCCCCCAAAAAAAGGCAGGAACGTGGTCAAGCCCATGAACACCAAACGTCCCCCAACCAGGCCAGCCAAACGACCCACACTTCCCGGGAAAACTCCCATATGGCTTCCAGGCACTCCTGAGAAATCAGGTTACAGTCCCACGGACGCTGTGAGGCCGGGCTCACCGCCTCCGACGGGATCGCCGGTGGAGGATGGTGGGGGTTCCTCGCCGATGCAGGATCATGCCGACCGCGGGCCTGACGAAGAAGATGGCGCGAATGATGAAGCGTGCCCCGTGGGTTACAAGGAATATGTGCAGGCCGTCGTGGACGAGCTTGTCCCTTTCCTGGAGATTTCGACAAATCTCTACTTGGTGCAGGGTTGGGATGCGAGAACGCAGAACTCCAAGGTTCGTGGACACATACCTACGGAAACTCCGCAAGACTGATTTTCCCGTATTAGGACAGCTGGCACCATATCGCATGACAAAGCATCGGCAAGGAGTTGTCCTGCACCTGCACATGTCCGGCGAGCAGGGCAGGACCGATCGGGTGCGTGCACGAATGGGCTTTGAAAGAATACGGGAGGAGTTCTTCCCTTTGGAGTCTGCGTTGCCCGGTGGGGAATGGTCCAGCCTTGCAATTCGAGTGCCAGAAGTGACTGACTCCTTTGCAGAGGTAAACGAGGACGTGGTGCTGTACTTCCGCCAGCAGTCACATGGGAGCAAAGGGCACCTGAACCACTTCTCCTGTCCCACAGGGAACCAGAGGGGGTTAAAAGGGCGGGTCGAGGGGGAAGATGACGGGCAGGGGCAGTGGCGTTGTGTGAAATGCGGCAACTCGCCCTGCGCATACGTAACCGCCTGCAAAACCCAGTTACAACAGCTCCTGCAGAGGGATCCCAATGCTATCCACCAGCCTGGCAAGGAGGATGCCGATGCCTTTGGTGAGTGGGCTTGAATTCTAAACAACAGATAAACTAAGGCGTGATACCGCAGTGCCAAAGGTGCGCGAAGTGAGGGGTGTGGAGGACTCAGTGTCCCACACGACGCGCCCACCTCCGTTCTGGGCGGCAATTTGTGGCGACCCCACCTTCGACATAACGCCCCTGAAGGAAGCTCCCGCATGTCTGCGCCTGGATGCGGACGCGAGGTGCGCTCACTGCAGATGCTCATTCAGGCCCACCGACCGAATGGCGATAAGGATCGCTGACACCACAGTTTACGGTTTATGCGAGGCGTGGACGACCAAGATCGAGCTCCAGTCGTGCGGGTGTAGAAATCGAAGCATTGGACCCGACTGCCGGGCTCACGGCGTCTTCAATCTCAACAACAGAGTGCTCTTCACGCACGAGCTGTTGGACGAGTACACGTCAGTGTTCACGACTTCAGAGATGCCCTTCTCGTCCTGGGGCACGGTCTTGTCTCGCAGGTACACACTGCGTGGACTCGCCTTCTGCAACGTCGATCTGTTCCGCGCAGCGTGGTTCGGGTACGCGAAGACACTCTGTCTGGAGGGCGACATGGAGTGCCCGCTGTGTGGTACAAGCCCGATACACACGATATGGGATGGGGTGACACTCACCTTCAATCGAAAGCACCTGCTTGCATCTCTGGAACCGCCAATGGTGTCACAGCCAGGATCTTTATGCAGAGAGAAGACGAGGTACTTTGCAGCTCAGCAGTTGCTTCGCGACAAGACTTGCCGCAAGCTGATATGCAAGATCGTTAAGGGGGCTGACCTGCTGTTGTGGGCGGGAGGGGCTGAAGGGGGCACGGCGGGGAAGGATGGCTCCAGGGGAGGATGGAGATAGCAACTTGCAGGCTGCTGCCACCGCCGCCGCCAAGCACGTTGAAAAGCTGAAAGACAAGCAGGAGCTGGTGGACACCATTCCCCTGGTGTCCTACATGCTGAAGCAGGTGAACACGTATCTGGCACTGATGTTCGAGGGGCACTTTGGTCTGGAGAGCTTGGTAGGGCAACGGAGGAAGCCGTTGGAAGTCTATGTGCGCCTGTTTGTTCAGGTGAGCGGGGCAGTTGTCTATTTGTACTCTCGCCAGGGAGCTGACACGGACCACAACAGCTCAGCGCCGAGGAGTCGGTGTTGCAGATGGCGACTTTGAAGGCGCTGAAAAAGCTGAACGTCTTCGTGCAGAAACCTACGCGCCAGAGCGCATCGGATCTGGTGGGAATCCCAGTGCTGTATGAAATACTGCGACACGAGTTCTCCAAACTGCCTACGCTCTCGACGGAGCTGCCTCAGGGGTCTTGGCTGTCTGCAAGTGGATCGGCAGCCGGGCGCAGGACGTGCTCCTGAAACTTTACAATACTGCCGTTGAGGAGGTCCCGATAATTGACTCAGAGGGGAAGCCATGGCAGGAGGTAAGAGGCAAAGTGGTGGGAAACTGTTCACTGACTCTGCGCCTTCTTCACAGACGGGCTGCTGCTACAGCATGTCCCAGATTCGCGAGCGCCCGACGTACCCGAAGCTGAGGGATGACACTCGTCAAGATTCTGGAGGGTTGCGCGGGGACAAGTGCTCGAAATTCTATGCACAGTACGGGGAGAAGCGGCTTACGGGGGGGATTATGGTTGCGTGGTGCACCCACAGCATTTCCTACGGCTTTCACTGCATTCCGCAGGGGGAGGGCCGCAACGACGTCTTTGCAGCGATGGTAACGAGATGGAAGTCGCCGCCTGAGATGGTCGTGTACGATTTCGCCTGCGTGCTGGGGCCCTATTGCATGCTGAGGGAGCCTCGGTTCTTCGCAAACACCACTTTCGTGATTGACGATTTCCATGCTGTGGGTCACACAAAGTGCGCTCCGGCGGCGTTTCTGAAAACTTACGTGGCGGTGGATTACCGGCTGGTGGCCCTCAATTCCAGTGCGGGTGAGAGCGGCAACAGCGGGATCTCGAGAATCCGCAAGTCAGTCAGCTACATGTCGCAGGACAGGGTGATCCTGTACACGAAGATTTTCCTGTCGGTTTGGAACCGGCAGCGCATTCTGGATATTAACAAAAAGATGGGGTTGGGCGCATAATTCATAGTTTATTGGCCTGGTTTATTGAGAAGGGGCTACTGCTACTTAGTTTTACGCAGACGTTCTATCTTCCTCTGGAGACTGTGTATCTCCAGCTTGTTGAGCACTTGCATCAACTGCTCGATGCCATTATACATAAGGTGGACTGTGGTGAGGGCCTGGTTGGTGAGTTGCATGTTTAACTCAGGATGCTTCACCAGGTCATGACCGTGGTAGTAGGAGTCGGAGTTGAAGAGCTGCTTGATATCGTCGATAAGGTCGACGCCCAGCCAGCGATGGGCAGCGACAACCTGTTCAAATTCGGCGCGGGGGAGGCTAGGAGTTGGTTGGAGGTAAGAGTCGTTCCATTTGGTAATGCCACCCCATTGGATTAGCCAGGCATCGGCGTCCGCCAAGAGGGCGTTGAACACGGAGGTGAAAGGTAAGAAGTACGGCCCGCGCGGTTCCTTAGGTGACGGGGGACAGGATGCGTCCGATATGTCGCCGGCGAGCCAAGTGATCCAGCAGTGGCTGCCCATCGAGTCTGTGTCGGAGGAGTCAGAGGAGGATGCCTCGTCGAAGTCTTCGTCTTCTGGGTCGTCGTCTGGCTCATTGTGGCCGTGGGCCTCGCGGTCCTCCTTCTGCCGCTGCTTCTTCTCGAGTCGCTCCTGCTGGCGAGCCTCTTTCTGCCTGAGGCGCTCCTGCTCCTCCTCTCTGCGCTCCTCCTTCTCCTTCGCTTTCTGCTGGCTGATCCTGGCCCTTTTTCTGTGTGGGCGTGGGCTTCGGGACTAAGGGATAAGGTGGGAGGTGGACGCACTCCTTGTCCCGCTGGGAGATTCTTGCCGCATTGCTTGTTCTGGGGTTCAGACTGAGGAATATACGAGGCAAAGTGGTCCATACCCGGCGTAGTACTTGGCGTGCTTTTCCTGACAAGATTTCTTTGGCTTTGGCTCAGCGCTGTCGTCGCCAGACGGGACAGCAGATTCTCGGTGGCCCATAGGGAGGTGTGAGAGTGACGCGTCCGTGACAGAGTCGGCATCACAGCGGTAATGGAGACACCTCTGGGATCCCAGAGATTGCAACGCCAGGAATAAATTTAGCCGCGTCTTGTCAATTTTTTTTTTTCAGCGTTCTGAAGAGGTGGCAGGGTATAGGGCCGTGTGAGATAATTTTTTCAAAGACCACTTTGCCTAGAGGTAAGGCACCCAAGCAGTATTAGGTAGTCTTCCTTTCCTGTTATCTGGGGAAGGTGGGTTCGAATCCCGCAGTGGTCATGCCCAGGAGCATTTTTTTTTTTTTTCTCTGCGTTTTTTTTCAAACCCCCGAGCTGTGGAGTAAGTTGTTTAGTTCTTGAGGCTGGCTGCACTTTGGAGGGTTGGAACTGTTGTCCGGAATGAGTTAACTCATCTCACCAGCCACCCTCGGGGGTTGCCGAGCCAGTCACCATCAAGTCCCGTGCTCAGGTGAGATGGCATCAATTTTGCTCCTGCTCTGAACTACCACCACCTCAGCGGTCGAATGTCTCAACTGGATGAGGCTGGGAATAACCTTGCACGCGGACGTTGCTATACAAGTGCGTTTTAGCTGTGTACCTCGACGAGTCCGGTGTGGGGCCAGACGACGAGGTGTTCACCGATAGAGGCGTCCGCTTCATTCTTCTTGTTTTGTGTCGTTTCGAAGGCCCGCAAAGAAAGCCTTGGATTGGTCTTCATTAGCGTGCATTTACTGACGATGCTTATCTCCACAGCTGTGTTTTGGCCAGATATCCGTCCGCAGACGCGGACTTAGCATTATTTTTTTGGGGTGTGTCTAAAGCTGGGCAGACCCCATGATCGCAGTGTTCAGCTTTTCTGTCACGACTGCTTGGTCTAGTGGCAAGACATCCTTGAAATCTGCCCTCCAGGAAGATAGGTTACGGGGAGCTTGTGGGTTCGATTCCCGCAGCAGTCATGTTCGAAAATTCTTTACAGTTTTTGTTTTCGTTCGGGTTTTTTTTTTTTTTGGTTTCATACGACTGACCAACGAGTGCATCTTTTGTGAGAGAGCTCTCAGACTATCTGCGCTCTCAAGAAAGTATGTCTTTTGCATTCTGCGGGAAGTCCCGACGCAATACTGATCAAATATGCCAGATTTGCACGACACAGGATATTTTTAACTTGCTTCCTGCTTTCACGGTGTATTTGATAGAGAACGTAGTATAAAGGAGCCACTTGAAATACAATGTGCTATCGTAGTCACTCATCATCAGAGTTGTTTTCAGTCGGAAATCGAAAACCATTGCAGGCATAGCTGTTGGGATAGAGGCCAGACGGTTTGTGCCACAGAAGATGGCGGTTGGTTTTCTCGAGGTCCAGCTGGAAATCGTGCATGAAACCGTGTCGTTCTTCAGGAAAGACACAGGCCCGGAGGCCACCACTGTAGCTGGAGGGCCGGAGGTCCAGGACGCGTAAGATTTGACCTCGTTTGAATTGCAGGTCTAGCATCTGAACGAATTGATCCCACCAGGTGTCCGTGTGGTCGATAACATAGTCCCTCATCGGACTTGGGGGGAAACCATGGGCGGCCTCCACCCGAAACTCCTCCAACTGGAGGGGAACAAGTGCTAAATGCGCCAGGAGGACAGCATCAAGGAAGGGTACATCTTCGACACTCAAGCCGCGGGTGGAACCCACTCTGTAAGCAAATCATCGGAGATTGGGGAGGTGGGTGAGGAGGGAAATGGCACTCGCCGAGCCTATGCGGGTAGAGGAGTAGAGGGTAAGGTCGCAAAGCGGCCAGCCGGAGGCTGTCTGGCTGCGCTCAGAAGATCGAGGATGGATTTGGAGACCAGTCCGGGCTGTTCGGCGTAGTAGAACCCATCGAACTGGAGTTTGTAGAGGGCAGGGAGCACGAGGGTCGAAAGTGGATCATAGCCTGTGGTCAGTCAATCGGGAAGGTAGTCGAGGGCCTCGACCCAGAGGCGGGTCAGCTGGGGGAACAGCAGCGGAATGGTGTGGGCCTCAAACCAAATGGCATAGAGGCGAAGTTCCACCAGATTAGGCATGTGATCGAGGTGAGAGCGGGGGATGGAGACTCTTCCCCTTGTTTCTTCCTCTCTGTAGGTCGACAGCTGAGGCCAAGGCAGGAGCATCGTGTCTTCAGGGCGGAGGACACAATACAGATGGACCTTGCGCAATCAGGGTGTCTGTGCGAACCACCCCAGTTTGTTGTGTTGTTGTATAGCGCCCGTATGGAACCATAAGTCGCCTTCGTGAAGGTTGTGGTCTCCCTTGATGGTGAGCTCGCGCAGGAGGGCCAGCCTGCCAGGAAGCTGCTCCATAAAATGGAGGAGGTCGTGTTCGTCGCCGTCCTGGTCGCGATGAATGACCTCTGGGGCAGTGATTCTCAAAGTGCCCCAGCGGTTGGCCTGAGAGAAGAGCGGTCCCAGAGTCTGGGGGACAAGGCTGTCCCGGCCGTTGAGGGCGACATTTAGGGGTACCCGGCGGGACCTTTCCAAGCGGGCGAGGAAGCCATCGACGGTGCTTTGGGTGGAGACACGTTCGCGCCCTCCCCAGCTGAAACAAACGGGCGAGGCCATTTCAGCCCAGAATTTGCTGCACTCGAGAGCAACAGCACGCCAGTAGCGGCAAACATGCGAAAAAATTTTTGAACCGGCCAAAGCCTCTCTGATGGGAGATGGCGTAGGCAAAGATTTCCCCAACAATTTCGTCGGGTAAGAGGGCGCGTTTGCTGACGATGGAACGGGCCTGCTGAACGATTTGCTCCGCGTAGCCTCTGACGAGCTTGGCCTTCCTGAGCTTAATTTTTAGCTTGGCGACGTTGGACTCGAGCATTTAGAGGGTGCGTGCGGCGCCAGGTTCCCAATCACGGATGCATTGGAGCATCGGATTTCGGTCCGTTTGGCGGTCGTAGAACTCTTCATTTGTTGGTGGCGGTGGTTTCCCGAGTTGTGCCTTTTGGAAGACGACGGGAGGCTGGAGTATATTTCTGGGGGAATGGATGGGATGGTCGAATGAGAAAGGATCAGGGCAGAAGGAAGGTGGACGCACTTTGCCTCCTCCCAGTGCTGACTTGCTTCAATGAGTTCCTCCGGCGAATGTGTGGGTGGTGAGGGTGGCGAGGAGTCGGCATAGCCAGAAAAGGTCTCTCCCCAACGGGATTCGAAGTGGTCGTCTTCTTCGTCGTCGGAGAACATTTTAGGGAGATGGAGAAAAATTATGTCAGCTGAGCGATGAGGATCACCGAGGTAGGCGAGCCATTGGGATGCCAAAGGTCCCACAGCGACTATTTATTTTATTTGTTAGTTCTGGGATCCCAAAGGCGGTCGTGATAAATATAGCTCACCTCTGGGATCCCAGAGATGGCCATTAAATTTAATGCGTGGCTCTGGGATCCCAGAGGTACATTAAATATTTTTTTGACGTGTCTCTGGAATTTTAAAGGTGGCCATTAAATTTAATGGGGAACTGTGGGATCCCAAAGGGTACGGTAAGAATAATAATATGCGGTATTCCACGACTGATAATTTCTTTTTGGGACTCGTCTCTGGGATCCCAAAGGTGGCCATTAAATTTAATGGGGAACTGTGGGCAGAGATGGCCATTAAATTTAATGCGCGGCTCTGGGATCCCAGAGGTACATTAAATATTTTTTGACGCATCTCTGGGATTTTAAACGTGGCCATTAAATTTAATGGGGAACTGTGGGATCCCAAAGGGTACGGTAAGAATAATAATATGCGGTATTCCACGGCGACTGATATTTTTTTTCCCCGCCCCTTTGAGATCCCAATGGTGGTGGTGTTCCCACAGCGACTACTGATTGTTTTCATTTCATTTTACGCAGCTGTGGGATCCCGAAGAGGGGGGGGGATTTTTTTTTTCTCACGGCGAGGTGCTCTGGGATCCCCAGAAAGGGCTTGGTCACATGTGGAGGCGCATGTAGGTGTGGTATTCAAAGTGAGCTATTTTAAGCTACTTCTGATGGCGTATCAATTTTGTCGATCATGATGGCGTAATGCTGATAAGAACGTTAGTGTTCCCTTTTTGGGTCTTTCGCCTCCTGTCATACAAATAAGGGCATCAGCACGAGAAAGCCCAGCAAGACTCATCTGACGGTGTGTGCACAATTAGCAGTCGGTATTTGCACAGATATACCCGTATTACGTCCTGGGAGGTCGCCCTCCCCCCTCCGAGGATTTAAGACAGATTTAACAAAAATGACCTACTCTGTATTTGCGAGGAGGAGCACCCGGTGAGCCACAGATAGCTGTATTCATTTAATTTACATTTACTTAGGGATTTGTAAAAGTGTCTGTACGTCTACAGGCAGAAGGGAATATTTTTGCTTGAATTACATTTGAGATGCATCATTAATACAGGTAGGGAGGCAGTCTTGATTCGTTTATGGTGAGTTTTTGGTCCTATGAGCCCGTTCTGGTGTTGCGATCAATGGTTAGGCCTTCTCCGGTTTGGTTTCCGACGTTCAAAATCATTTTTATTGAGAGGATCACTTTAAAACAGAGACTGCCAAATTAGCTTTGATGGGCGACATAACAGCGACTCATGTTGATCTAATCTAATTAAAGCTGTATTACAGGGTCAGATTGAGGTCAGAACACAAGGCCTGGCTGATTCCCCCCTCTGCTCAACACCCATGTCACCCCAGCCTTTCCCTCAAAACATGCAGTTGAGCAATAACACATCCTCCATCATGGAGTTCTTGAATACCCAGGGACTGGAACCTACCTTGGAAAAGCTAGAAGGACCAGGCATGTTGACAGGTGAGCAGATTGGCAATCCCAGACTCCTCTGTGTGATTAATCACCCATGCAGGCCCTGCAGAAGGTGCTCTGAGCTCAGTTGGAGAGCTCTGGAAGAATCACACCATAGCCATTGTGATCCTGTGCATTGTGCTGGTCGTGATCGCGCTCCCGGCGAATTCCTTCGAGTTGGTTCACTGTTTGGCGCTACAAGTGAAGTGGAAGCTCGAGGCATTGCAGGAGAAGTATGGGGATACATTGACTGCTGAGAATGAGGTGGATATCAGAGAGATAAAGAGGCATTTTTTTTTCTTTCCATCATTGCAGCACAAATTGAACATTTAAGAAGCCACCTGAATCAACTGGCGAACGAACGCACTGCAACGTCCAAGGACTGCTCGTGGGGGTACTATTTCAGATAGGTGACCTGCCGGGGCCTTATTGGTGTTCTCGTCATGAAGACAATAGAGGTAAAAAGGGAGTGGAGCCGATTCAGGGTACGTTTTACATCCCTACAACCCAACGTCTAGTACTAATCTCTGTTACCAGGGCATCCTGACGGAGCAGGACCACAACATTTCGTCTTTCACGATTTGTTTCCCGTCAATGTGGAAAGGGAACAAGTCGTTCGAACTCAACGACATCCAACACGACATCGAACTCGACAAGTTGAATGTCGAACCCGACACAGATAACATGGTTTAAAGCGATACGACGCTTGTGATGGGGCTACGGTCAGTGCGATGATAATGTACATACTTTGTAACGGTTGCTCAATTTCACACGAATTTCTTGGTAACAATTTTATTTGAATAATATGTAAGTACATTTGAAACGAGAGGAATATATGGTAAGGATGGAGCACGCTGCCGGGAGTCGCAGAGGGAGCTGTTCGGGGTGGGAGTGTGCCGGCGGTGTGTGGGAAAGGTGGTGCAGACGAGCGGCGGACCGGCGGCAGGTGCGGCGGGGGAGGGAGCCCCGTGTCGGTGGTGGAGGACGAAGACGCGGAGAGTTTGCATCTGCAAACCCTCCGTTAGCTTACCGTCGCGAGCGGCATGTGGCGGTGGCGAGGAAGGAAACGCGGAGGGTTTGCACATGCAAACTCTCTGCGCTAGCTCTACGAACCGTTCGCGTGCTTTTTGAAGCACGCGAACACGTTCTACGGTGGTGGGTGGAGGCGGGCGCAAGC